GGGGGAAGGGGCCTGCGCAGAGGAGGCGCTCGGGACGGTGACCTGGAAGTTGGGGTCACCACGGGGTGAGCCTTCAGACATTCATCAAGCACTGACTGCGCCTGGCACGGTGGGAGGGCCTGTGAGCACAGTGATGAACAAAACAGCAAAGCCAGCCCTGGCGGGGCTCTTATTCTACTGGGGCCACAGATGAGCAGGCTAAATGCAACGGTGTGAATATGGGGGGAGCCTGGGGGAAGGCCCCGGGCGGAAGGGTCCGAGGCCGGAGGAGCTGTGTGTCGGCGGAGTGAGGGGAGCAGCTCCGCTCCAAGAGGCCAGGAAGCCAGGTCTGGGCCCCGGCCCTTGTAAGGCCTTGGTCCTCAGCGGAGCGGAAGGTTACAGGGCCTGGTGGGAAGGGCTCCTGCGGGGTGCGCACCCTGGGTTTCAGCTCTCATTCTGTTATTTTCCTAATTTTTAAATATGTATTGTGGAGGGGATTACAGGTGTCCCCAGTGCCCCCCAGTGCCCCTCTCCACCTAGTCGCACCCCTCCCAGGTCTTCACCACACTAGTGTCTCTCCATGGGCTTTGCATTTATGCAGTAAGGTCTGTGGTTATTCTCTGCCCGCACCCCCACTCCCTTCCCTCTGAGACCCGTCACTGTTCCAGGCTTCCATCCCTCTGAGCCCCTTTTATTTGTCAGTTTATGTTGTTCATTAGATTCCACATATGAGTGAGATCATGTGATACTTGTCTTTCTCTGACTGACTTATTTCACTTAGCACAGTGGTCGGCAAACTGCGGCTCGCGAGCCACATGCGGCTCTTTGGCCCCTTGAGTGTGGCTCTTTCACAAAATACCGACTTCTGCGCATGGGCCACGAAGTTTCAATCGCACTGTACGTGCGCACCGGCACGTGGTATTTTGTGGAAGAGCCACATTCAAGGGGACAAAGAGCCGCGTGTGGCTCACGAGCCACAGTTTGTCGACCACGGACTTAGCATGATACTCTCCAGGTCCCTCCATGCTGCCTCAAAGGGTAAGAGATTCTTTTTTACAGCTGCATAGTATTCTATGGTGTAGATGTTCCACGGCTTTTTTTACCCACTCGTCTACTGATGGGCACTTGGGCTGTTTCCAGATCTCAGTTATTGTAAATTGTGCTGCTATGAACATAGGGGTGCACACATTCTTTCTGAGTGGTGTTTCGGGTTTCATAGGATATATTCCTAGAAGTGGGGTCACTGGGTCAAATGGCAGTTCAGTATTTAATTTTTTGAGGAAACTCCATACTGTTTTCCACAGTGGCTGCACCAGTCTGCATTCCCACCAGCAGTGCTCTAGGGATCCCATTTCTCCACATCCTCGCCAGCATTGTCGTTTGTTGATTTGTTGATGATAGCCGTTCTGACAGGTGTGAGGTGGCACCTCATTGTGGTTTTAATTTCCGTCTCTCCGATGATCAGTGACCGAGCACTTGTTGTCTCATTTTGGAAATCAGCCCTTATCCGCTGTCTCATCGGATCTCTCCGATGATCAGTGACCGAGCACTTGTTTCATTTTGGAAATCAGCCCTTATCCGCTGTCTCATCGGTGACTATGTCCTCCGCACAGGGGGCTCCCTCTGCATCTTGAGAAAGGCTTCTTGTGCTGTGCTGAAGCTTTTCGGTTTCATGTGGTCCCATCTGTTTCTTTTTTCTTCAGGCAGCACGTGGTCTCCTACAGCATTCATTGTGGACGATGGGGAGACCCCTGACGGGCTGAACCTGGGGGCCGTGGTGAGCGATGTGGAGACGGGAGTGGTGTTCCTTTTCTACTCCCTCTGTGCTCACAAGGCCGGCTGCCAGGTGGCCTCCACCATGTTGGTGTGGAGCAAGGACGATGGGGTCTCCTGGAGCCCACCCCGGAACCTCTCCCTGGATATCGGCACCGAGATGTTTGCCCCTGGACCGGGCTCTGGCATTCAGGTCTCCGTCCTGGGATGGGTGGAGGGGGTGCCTGGTGGAGAGTCTGGGAGATGCCCCAACATGGACTCCTTCCCAGGAGAGGTTCCTGCGAAGTCAGTTTCTGTCTTAGGTGGGGTCCCTTGGAAGAAAGGTTCATCCTGGGAGGAGTGGGAAGATGGAACTCCCCACCCAGTGGTCGTCAGCAGGGCTGCAAATTAGAAAAAACACCCCTTCTTTGGGCGGACACACGTCTGCCATGGCGCAGCGTGGTGAATGAGCACGCCCGGGGAAGAGCCAGCTCCACCCCCCGTGGCCCGCCCCTGGTCCTGGATGTTCCAAAGGAGCTTATTCTGCAAAAGAGCGTAATTCAGCAGTGGCTGCTTGAGATCCGTCGGGGACCCCCAGCGAGCAAGGACAGAACTGAAGGGGAACACGTGTCCCCACACTGAGGACCGGGTGGTTCCCCTTCCCACCTCTGAGCCCCCTCGGGCCTCCGTCTGACACACACTCCCTTTCCCACAGAAACAGCGAGAGCCACGGAAAGGCCGGCTCATCGTGTGTGGCCACGGGACGCTGGAGCGGGACGGGGTCTTCTGCCTCCTCAGCGATGACCACGGCGCCTCCTGGCGCTACGGCAGTGGGGTCAGCGGCATCCCCTATGGCCAGCCCAAGCGGGAAAATGACTTCAACCCTGATGAGTGCCAGGTCAGGAGTCCATGGCTCCGCCCCCTCCCAGCCGCCAGCCTTGGCTCAGGGACAGCCCCTCGCGCAGCCCCTCCCTGGGTCTCCCTGAGCCTGTCCTCTCTCCTCAGCCCTATGAGCTCCCAGATGGCTCAGTTGTCATCAACGCCCGGAACCAGAACAACTACCACTGCCACTGCCGGATCATCCTCCGCAGCTACGACGCCTGTGATACTCTGAGGCCCCGGGACGTGACCTTCGACCCTGAGCTGGTGGACCCTGTGGTTGCCGCAGGAGCGGTAGCCACCAGCTCGGGCATTGTCTTCTTCTCCAACCCAGCCCACCCGGAGTTCCGTGAGTGTCTGCGGGCCGGGCCGGGGAGGGAGGGTGGGGTTGGGCCCGTGGTCTAGAGAAGGCCTGGGCAGAGACCCTGCGTTCCTGACTCTGCTGCTCTTCCCAGGAGTGAACTTGACCCTGCGCTGGAGCTTCAGCAACGGTACCTCTTGGCGGAAAGAGACAGTCCAGCTCTGGCCAGGGCCCAGCGGCTACTCCTCGCTGGCAGCCCTGGAGGGCGGTGTGGGCGGGGCGGACCAGGCCCCCCTGCTCTTCATCCTGTATGAGAAAGGCCGGAACTACTGCACAGAGAGCATCTCCCTGGCCAAGGTCAGCGTGTACGGGACGCTCTGAGCTGCACACTTGCCACGGCGAGAAGGCCCTGGCCTCAGCGGCCTCAGGACCGTGGCCTGCGGAGGGTCGCCGGGCGCCCAAAGGACAGTTCCACCTTCCTTTAGAATCCAGCCTTTTGCAAAATCAAGTTTTCTTTGACAGGGAAATTGCTCCGTTAGGCTTCCTTTCCATAGCACTGGGCCTGGCCCTGCCCTTCCTGCCCCCAGGGGCCTTGCTGGGCCCTTCCTTGGGCCTGTAGGCTGAATAAACGTGAACTCAGGGACTCGGGGAGGCTGCGCTTCCTCTCTGAGGTACGACGGTGGCTGTGGAGAGGGTTGGTGAAGCGCCTGGCGGGCAGGATGCTCGCTTTCAGGGGAAGGGACTAGCCCAGTGACGGCGAACCTTCTGAGCTCGGCGTGTCAGCATTTTGAAAAACCCTAACTTAACTCTGGTGCCGTGTCACATATAGAAATTTTTTGATATTTGCAACCATAGTAAAACAAAGACATATTTTTGATATTTATTTTATATATTTAAATGCCATTTAACAAAAAAATCAACGCGTGTCATAGGTTCGCCATCACTGGCCTAGACGCACACCAACCTTGACTGTTTGTGCATCAGGATGTTTGTAGCGACTGCTTTAGTGAAGGGGAATGTGTGGTCTGGTTGCCATGCCCGTCTGCATGTCAGTCCCTCGTAGACACCGTGGCTGGGAGTGAGCTCTGCGGAGGGCGCTGGGGGTGCTGCCTGAGAACATCCAACTTGGGCAAATCAACTCTCCTTTCCCTTCACATCCTCTCACCCGGAAGCACACTGACCCTCACAGGGCAGCGCGCAGTCGGAGGGGACCCGGAAGGTACTTGAACCTGCTAAGTGGTATTTCTAAGATGAGTGGGCCCTTCCTCCGGGAGGCAGGGAGCGGGCCCACAGTGCGGAGGGCAGGCCTGCCCCAGGCCAGCCGGGCGGAACAAACACGAACAGATTCGGGGAGAGACGGCATCTTCATTCTCTAGCAGATGCTGGGGGAGGAGCCTGGGTGGCTGCAGGTGGTGGGAGCCACGCTTTCCTCCCGATGGAAGGAAAGTACGACACCTGGGCCACGTGGAAAGACGTCTCGCACTCCCTGGCTGGTGAGGCTCGGTTGGTTGGCCCGGACACGGAAGGGTGGTGGGTTTGATTCCTGGTCAGGGCACATACCCAGGTTGAGGGTTCAATCCCCGGTCCAGGCGTGTGTAGGAGGCAACCAATCCATGTTTTTCTCATATCTATGTTTCTCTCCTTTCCTCTCTTTCAAATCAATTTCTTAAAAAAAGAATGTCTCTCACATAAAGGGATGAGGGTCACATTCATCTGCAGTTAAGTGTTTTCCCGACCAGCGTGGCTCAGTGGTTGAGCATTGACCTATGAACCAGGAGGTCACAGTTCGATTCCCAGTCAGGACACAAGGCGGGGTTGCAGGCTCGACCTCCAGTGAGGGGGGTGCAGGAGGTAGCCGATCAGTGATTCTCATCATTGATGTTTCTATCGCTCTCCCTCTCTGAAATCAATAAATATATTTTTTAAAAATAAAGTCTGTTTCACTTTCAAGTGCTGCGCTAGCAAACGTCAGGGTCATTTATCCCACCTGACGGAAGAGGTGGGTTAATGGCACTGTGTGAAGACATGGTATAATTTTGTTATATTTTATCCAGAATTTGTGATCAATATGTAATACTTCAATTTTTTATTTAAACACATTTTCAAAAATTCTCAAAAGTGAATAGCTTAGCCCTAGCTGGTTTGGCTCAGTGGATAGAGCATCGGCCTGAGGACTGAAGGGTCCTGAGTTCGACTCCGGACAAGGGCACATGCCCAGGTTGCAGGCTCCTCCCCCACCCGGGCCCTGTTCAGGCACGTGCAGGAGGCAACCAGTATGTGTTTCAAATCGATGTTTCTCTCTGTCTTTCCCTCTCTCTTCCACTCTCTAAAATGAATGGAAAAATATCCTCAAGTGAGGATTAAAAAAAAAAAAAGTGCATAGCTTAACGAGCCCCATGTACCAAACATCTAGTTTCAACAGTTACCAAGGTATTGCCACACTGCTGCTTCTGATGCCTCTCTGTTCCTTTCCTTTGCTAAAGTATCTTAAAGCAAATGCCAGACCTCATGACACTCACCCCTTCGTTCTTAGGTATGCATCACATTCTTTTTATTTTCTTTTTTTTTAGTAGCATTTTTTTAATGTATTTTATTGATTTTTCACAGAGAGGAAGGGAGAGGGATAGAGAGTTAGAAACATCGATATGAGAGAAACATCGATCAGCTGCCTCCTGCACATCTCCTACTGGGGATGTGCCCGCAACCAAGGTACATGCCCTTGGCCAGAATCGAACCTGGGACCTTTCAGTCCGCAGGCCGATGCTCTATCCACTGAGCCAAACTGGTCAGGGCTACATCGCATTCTTTTTAAAAAATAAATATTTTCAGAGCCGAAGGGAGAGGGAGATAGAAACATCAATGATGAGAATCATTGATCTGCTGCCTTTTGCACACCCCCCGCTGGAGATTGAGCCTGCAACCTGGGCATGTGCCCTGACCAGGAGTCCTGGGTCATAGGTTGATGCTCAACCACTGAGCTACATCGGCCAGGCTGCATCCCTTTTATTTATTTTTTTTTCTTTTATATTTTATTGATTTTTTTACAGAGAGGAAGAGAGAGGGATAGGGAGTTAGAAACATCGATGACAGAGAAACATCGATCAGCTGCCTCCTGCACACCTCCTACTGGGGATGTGCCCGCAACCAAGGTAAATGCCCTTGGCCGGAATCGAAGCTGGGACCTTTCAGTCCGCAGGCTGACGCTCTATCCCCTGAGCCAAACCGGTTAGGGCTATTTTTTTAATATATATATTTTTAATGATTTCAGAGAGGGAGCAAGAGATAGCAACATCAATGATGAGAATAATTGATCTGCTGCCTCCTACACAGCAACCTGGGCGTGTGCCCTGATGGGGAATCAGACTGTGACCTCCTGGTTCCTAGGTCAATGCTCAACCACTGAGCCACACCGGCCGGGCTGCATCCCATTCTTTAAACAGAACAGTTAGTATATAACCATAAAGCCATTGCACACCCAAAACATGGAAACAGCACTGTGGTGTCTTCTAATAACCAGTCATATTCAAGTCTCATCATGTCTCAAAAATGTCTTATTTATAATTGATTTGTTCAAATCAGGATCCAAAGAAAATCTACACGTTGCATTTTTTTTCATTATTTTTTTATTGATTTCAGAGAGGGAGAGGGTGAGAGAGAGAGAAACACCATTGATGAGAGAGAATCATTGATTGGTTGCCTCCTGCACCAGGATTGAGCCCGCAACCCAAGCTTGTGCCCTGCCCAGGAATCCTGGGCTCATAGGTCTACACTCAACCATTGAGCCACGCCGGCTGGGTACACATTGCATGTTGAGGTCTCCTAAGTTTAACGGACAGTAGTCCTCTTCCTCTTTTTTGTTGTATTACCATCTAACAGACAGTCACTCTCCCCTAGACCACCCAACTCTGCATTTGCCAGTTACCTCCTCCGAGTGCCACTGAACCTCTTCCTCCAGCCCTTGTATTTTCACCTTCAAACCTGAGGTTTTGATTGGATTCAGATTCCGTTTGTGGGATAAGATTCCTTGGCAGGTGCTGTGGTTTCCTGTGGCGCCCCCTGAGGAGGCAAGTGCTGCCCCCCTCGGTGAGCTGCGCAGAGAGGAGCGTGGGCTGGGGTCCCCATGGCCATGGCCCGCCCTCCTTGTGAGGATCCTCCCTCACCTTCCCGCTGACAGTTTCATCCATAGATGAGTTTTGCCTGAATCATGAGGGGCTGTGAAATCCTGATTTTCCAGATGAACGGCGTAGAGGAGGGATGCACCGACATAAGGCGCGAGTATGATCAGTGGTTTAATCGCTGGTTTGCTGAGAAGTTCCTCAAGGGGGAAGCTCCGGGGAACCGGGCCCGGACTTCTTCAAGCGCTACCAGCAGTGCATTCAGAAAGCAATAAAGGAGAAGGAGGCTCCCACTGAAGGACTGGAGTTCATGGGCCATGGCAGAGACAAGCCTGAAAGCTCTTCTTGACCTTGTCAGTCACCTTGAAAATAGACTCCTCCAATCAGGAAATGTGAGCCCTCTGGATTTTGCCAATTAAGGCTGTGAAGATAGCCATCAATTCAATGAGGACTTCTTTTCCTCCGGATGTTTTCCTCTCACTTTGAACCGTCACTTTTTACTTTGGGATGCTTTCTCACTTGCTGTGACATCTTGCAGGAACTCGCTGTGCTAAAACTGAATGATTTCTTGGGATTATGGCTGCCATACTTCATCTGGGATCAGCTTTATATATTTTGTATCTAAAGACTGATAAACTTGTCAGGATAATGATGGTTGCCTGACCCCCTGAGTTATGCCTCTAAGGACATTAGATGTACTGTACGGGGTCACTGTCCATGGGAGCAGCTGGTTAGGACCTCTCTCCTCTCGGGGAGCCAATGCTCTGACAAGGGACCCCAGCACGACTGTTTCAGTCAATGCTTGGGAGCAGTTTTATTTTTTTATAGTAACTTAACTGTTAAGATGCTCAATGGTGGACTGGGTTAGCCAACAGGAAGCTTTTAACAGTTCCCGGCCTTAACAAGAGGTGTCAGACCTCAGATTAAGATGTGAAAGCCTCAAGAATGCTAGAGCGAACACCATTTCAGAGTTCATAGTTAGTTCAGTCATTAAGATCTCTGGAGTATACTATGGAAGAAGATCCTAAATTGCAAAGATTTGCTGCTGTGGCCAGCTTTCAAGCTAAGTCAATGAATTAAATCAACCTGTATATCATGAAAATGCCAAAACACTGTATCTGGTTAGGGGAGAAAGGAATTTGCTTTATTTGAGTTGTTTACGCACCCTGCCCGGTAATATCTGTAATCATGAAGATGGAATAAATTGTAATATTTCGTTTCCAAAAAGAAAGAAAGAAAGAAATGTTGCTTTCCCAATTCTATGATTTCGTCCTCATTTGTTAGCTGGAATTCTTCAGTAAAAAGGCGCTTCCCCTCCTCACGGCTGGGGATTACCCTGAGCAGGGTTTGTGCGGGAGAGGCATACAAATGCTGACTGTCCCCCTTTATTGCCGGAAGCCGGTCCATTCTTGCTGCTTGACACAGTCGCTGCAGGAAAGAAACATCTGCACAGCATATGTTTCAAGGGACCTGGCATATATAGCATATTGTTCTTAATATGTTTGCTCTCCTTAGTGCCATGTGTTTT